GCTTGCTAGCGCGGGCTCAGGCTTGCTGCATCAGAGGCTGGGTCTTTTTTCATGCATATTTGCTCATACTGAAATCTGAAAATTTTTATTTTAAAGTGTAGATCAATAACAACAGAGGAAAAAAGGGAAAAATGGGAGAGTTGATTTTAATATAGCTCATGTCTTTTTCCTTGTATTCCTTCCAGGAGATCCAACTCCCAGCTTATATCGTGAATGTTATCCGTGAAGCTACTGTGGGATTGGCAGAAGAATTTCTCCTTCTCCCATTAAATGAATCTATGATTGGAGAGAGGATGACTTGGAGTCTATGATAATATCATGAGTCATTCAGACCATCTCTCAATAACCACTACATAAAGACAAGTCTCCTTTTGTTTAGAATAGAAGTTCAGTTTATTCTTTTCTAAATGTACCTACATCTTGACCAGACTTCCAAGCATCTGAAAGGTAACCTCTCCATACTTTTTCCAAATAATGCAAAATAACTTAAGAATGAAAATACCTTAAGTAACCAACATTACATAAATATGCAATAACCCAGATTGTGACAGGATAAATATTATGTCTGGGAAGACATCCACAGCAAGAACATAATGAAGGAATTTCATTTTATAAAAGCGTTGGGAAAGGGCCCTATTTGTAAAGTGGAAAAGATTAAAGTGGCCCGGGAGGTCAACATAAACACAAATTCCTCCAAGAAGTGAAACCCCATCCTGGCAGTCTACAGAGCTTTGTCAGCTTTGGCCTCACAGGGCTGGGCTAGGAAGACACACTGCAAGTCTCCAGCCAGGGGCTGATGCATACACTGAGGAAGAGGCTGTCCTTTCAGTGACAAACTGGGCCCTGGCCCCTTTACAATCGATTACAAGCGTGCACAGCTGATGGCTGTTCAAAGGCCTGGACAGGCAGGTTGAATGAGATCTATTTTCCTAATTATACAAACCAGGTCCTGGCTATAAGAAAAACCGGTGTTACCAAAGCAGCACAGGATGTAAAAAAAATGTCTACTTCATCAGTTCCTTTATTTATTCATTTTCCAGGTATCTACTGTGTGAAGCACAGTGCTATGCTGGCCCTCCATGGTAAATGCAAAGTTCCAGATTCACAGATTCTGGGGTCCATGGATCCCTAGAAGGTCCACAGAGGAACTCCAGCGGCCCTGGAAACTGAAACTGTACACTAGATTTTGCAAGTGCATATGTTCATTTTTTTCCTTGGGAAAAAGCTTCCAAAGGATTTTTAAAATGATTTATAAGTTCCCAAAAGATTAAAAATCATATTCTTTAAAAAATCAGAAAAAAATTTGCAGTGGATTAAATTCTCCCATTTATGATGTGGTGATGATGTGATCTGTTAGATTTCTTCTTCGATTCTAAAATGAAATAACTAAAGTCATTATTCACTGATTGATCGATTCTTTTCCAAGTGATTAAATACTCCAAAAGGGATGAAGCTCTCACAGATTTCATTGCTAAAATTTCTTAAATGTCTCTCAGCTGAAGTCATGATACACTTCTTGCAACTCTGAAAATATCGGCAGCCCCTGCTCCAACTGCAGATGTAAACTGATGTAAACTGCTGAGCTAATTAATCTCGCCAAAGAAAATTCCTCTTGACCCTGAACTTCGATTTTCTGGAGGTGACAATAGTCCCAGCCCATGTGGTTCAAATGCGAATTGTTTGAAACAAACACCTGTGTGCATAACCTCTGGAACTCAGTCGAACTCTCCAGAGCTCCCTGACTCTCTCATCTCCTGGGAGCTGCTATCTCTTCTGCCATCGTAAAGACAGAGTCAATTTACATGAAGATACTGAATCAAAGAGAAAAGCATTCCAAGGACGAGATATACACTAAACAAGATTAAAACTGTCAGGGAGAAAAAGGAGGGGATGGGAGAAAAGGAAGAAGGTTCTGGCTGCTGAGGCCCTCACCAATATTTTTAGGGGCCAGTGTAGTCACCAAGGCCGTAAAAGCCGGACAGGCAGGTTTTCCCAGTTGCAAGCTGAACCTGAGGTTAGGAGCTGTGATCCTGGACATCAGCCAGCGCCAGACAGGGTAGAACAGAGAAAAACCCTTCCATGTTCAACCTCTGGCAATTTCTATGAGGTTTATGATCCCCACAGACTGGCAAAGAAAAGACAGCTTCCTTTTGTATCCTTCATTCTGCACCAAGCATCAGGCCCCTTTGAGAATCCATTAGACCAGTGGTGTTTGACAGAATTCAACATTGGCACTGAAACGTGTGGGTGAGCCAACAGCCGGGACCTTCTGGGCCACTGTGTGGTGTGTCAATGCCAAGGGCATATTTTCAGGCATATTTTCAAAAACAAAATGAAACAGTAGCTAGTCTTAAGATTACTTAATAAAATATAATGAAACTTTTAAAGGATAAGAGTCACTGAGGAAGATTAAGACTAATTGTCAAAATTAGTGAGAATCATCTGCTTTCTGCCTAATGGGAAGCAAATTGCAAAAAAGAGAAAAGAAAAAACCTGGCAAGCTTTAATGTTGACACAGTTGAAAGAGCAAAACCAAATTGTATTTTATGACTATGGAGAGAAATTATGAGACAGTGTCAAACTGGGCCTCTTAACAGCTCATTTTATTTTGTAGCACTGACAAAAAAAAAAAAAAATATATATATATATATTTATATAATACACACACACACACACACACACACACACACACACACGTATGTATCACTCAAGACCAACTACATGCCTAGTAACCATAATTGGGTCAAATGTTCAATTAGGGTTCCTGTATTTTTTATTGCTTTTTATCACTGGTGGGAAGGAGAGCCCGTTCCAAATAAATATTGTCCATTTATGGCATTTCAATTAATTTTCTCTTTCCAGGGTATGTAGGAGAAGACAGCACAGCCTTGGTTGCAGCTATTTTACTCTTTGGGGTTTATGCAAACTCAAGTGCATACTGGCACAAATCAGACAGCCAAATGCAAACAACCCACACCTTGGGGAAACAGTTCACGTTACCCAAGTAAACACAAGCACCTATTAGTCACCCACTCAAAGCAGAAATGGCCAACGAGGGATGGGAGGGCAGCCTTCAATGCCAGAAAAGGAAGCACGTTGCTTTGCAAATCTCATTATTATCACCAACTTACTGCGCATTGCCAGAAAGCCACTAAGCTTCTTATGGGAAAATGTCACTGGTGTGAACCATTAAACAGTTTTCAAAACTTTAATAACCAAAACCTGACACAGATCCACATGGATGCATGTTATGATAATAATACTTTCTCTGGAAAAGCAACCAAATGACAGTCAGCTATCGATTCCTAACAGCAGAAATCCATAAGAACTGAATTAGGATTGTGAGCTAGGCAGGTGGGCACGGCCCAGGCTGTGGAGTCTTTGTTTTTTATTGGCTTCTCATCTACTCTGCCAGCTACTCGTCCAAAGCCTTCAAGATGTTTTCTAAATACACATCTCTGAATCATAATGTGAATTCCATTTACTGAAAGGCGGGGACATTTAATATAACAAGTGAACCCATTTAACGACTTACGCTTTTATATCTTATAGCATCACTCATGCTTTCAATAAGTGGATATAATTTTCTTTGTATTACCCTATTATTAACATAGTTAGTATTATGAATATATATTTTCAATCATGTTATAAGTTTTTTATTTTCTCCAGCTATGATTCTATTATGAAAATGCCCCAGACAGCTAGAATAACAAAAACAACAGCCAAAAAAATCAACACACATTTACCCCTTCCCCTCTTCGACTACTATGAATATATATTTTCAATCATGTTATAAGTTTTTTATTTTCTCCAGCTATGATTCTATTATGAAAATGCCCCAGACAGCGAGAATAACAAAAACAACAGCCAAAAAAATCAACACACATTTACCCCTTCCCCTCTTCGACTAATCAAATTCCCTAGGAACAGAGATTTGCTTATATTTTTGAATGCCTTTGTAAAGAGTAATGATTACTCTTATGTTTAAATGTTTCTTGGTTGATCCTTTATTTTACATGAGTTACTATTGTTACTTAGGTATCTATCCTAAGTCTTTTTATTATACCTGAGATAACTTTTATTCATGAGATTATTCAGTACTATATTACAAAAATAAGATTTCCAAAACAAACTATCCTATCTCCTTCAATTAAACTTTTAGTACTTGTTACTGTTTATAAAATATGACCTAGGTTCTTACAAGACAGAGAAAACACAATACTTGAAAATAGTTGGAAACCAATTTTAAAAAGCCAAGATTCCCCTTTCTGCTCTAATATTTTGATTATGGGCTAAAGGCAAAGGCAAACAAAACTACCCGTAGGGTGACAGTGATACACGAATGCGGCAGTTCCTCTGGATAATCCAGTCTCTGCTATTATTAGTACTAAAATCTTAACTTAGGCCCAACCCCCTAACCCTCAAATAATCATAAGGCATTCAACAGAAATCTGTCAGGAAGGTATACTGCCATCAATGATACTAACACTATTTCTTCATATTTTACCATTAAAAGGTAAGCTGGCTTGAAACTTGTTTTAACATCATACACTAGAGAGCCCTTAAAATTATTAGAAGTGATCATTTGAAAATCTGTCATTTGCCACAGATAGCACATGGATCATAAGTTAAAGGCTTACATTAAATAGATTTTTTATTATTATCAAAGCGAGAACCCCGATTCTACAATGCTAGTTTACATTATGGTAACTTTTACATTTTTAAATGTTAGTAAAAATCTGAGGGGTTTTTTGAAATTCACAATTCATGTTTTGCATGTTCCAAATCAGTCTTAAATTGAGTAATAGAAAGCAATAATGTGAAGATTCTGTTAAAAATATTAAATTTTAAATAAATATTTTTTAAAAAGCTTGACGTGGCAATAGTAAGAAAGACCAAGTTTCTAGGATTCCCTCACAGCACCATTGTTAAGTTTTGAAATCTGGGTTTGTTGCCATGTAAATACTTTGAGTTGCAAGATCAGTTTTGATGATACATACCTCTTCCACTTCGACCGACGAACCTGAGGTCATTGAATCTTGCGACTTGATTTTTCATGGCCGCTGTGGCATTTCTCAGCTCGGCTGAGTAATTTTCATCATTGCCGGCCATCACAGTGACCAGAGTGCCATCCGGAACGTCCCCCAGAGCCACCACCTAAACACCAGTCAAGGAATAAATGCAGACATCAGGAATGTTATATATACACTTTTACGTCATTTGGTAGTAATCGTTACAAAATGAAATGGATATTAAATGATACCTTTTAGTTTGTGGAGCAATACCAATCATAACTTAAGCAAAACAGAAAAGTTATTAATGAGAAGATTTACTTTTAATTCCATTATGCAAAACTAAAGATAAATTTTAAAATAATGAAACATTTACTAAATTCACCTAATAAAGCCACATAAGGTCATACAGCACAGTTGGGACAAGACTAACAATAGCAAGAACTTTGAAAAGCTAGGCCGTCTCATGAATACAATCATCTCTTCTTAATTCCTCACATTTGAAAACCAGAAAGTCTTGTGTTTGTGAGTTTATCACCTAACCCATCTTTTATTTGCTCAGACCTCCACTGACAGGCTTAACAGGGCCTGGACTTTATTTTCAGGTATCTGAACTTCTTTCTGCTAAAATTAAATTTGATCTTTGCTGACAATTTTAAATGACTTAAACTGTTCCTTTGCAGTTATCTTTTATGCCGCCTACTCCCTTCTATTACTTTAAGTTTCACGAGCAATGAATTCTGGGATGCAAGGAAGAACTATCAGAAATGAATTCTTTGTTTACTACTAATTACAAAATCAACAGGCCTTAGAAAAAAGGGGCATTCACTCTTATGAACTCCCTTCAATTCAGGGTGGAACTGGTTTGCATTTTTCTCTCTGAGAGTCCCAAAAATGTGTTAACTATATCCTGATAGATGACTAGGGTATCTCTAAACCCAGCCAATTTTGATAAGGAATTCCTTTAATGTAATAGGATAGGTGTGAATTTTCTATCAGGGCTATTGAAGAAAACTGGTAGATAAAATCTATTTTTGATACTCAGGTAATTTTAAAAAATGTAGTAATTTCCAGGTAAAATGCTTGCTCTGAAGAGCATGGTCTGAAGATGTTTCCTACGATAGTATCAATTTCTTGGCCATCATTTGACCCATCTAGAAACTATTTTCTTTGTCTAGACATTTATTATTGGCCATATTTCCATTTTTCCTATTTTTCAAAGTGATCATAGAATTTCGAATCAAAATGCCCCAAGTTGTATTTGTTCCTATCATTTTTGATACTCCTTATGGTACTTTCTCAGTCAGTAGTAAAATTTGTTGTTCGTTCCAATTATATAATCATTTTTTGGTTGTTGGTAATACTAAAGTAATCCCTAATCTACTGCTATTATTCCTTACCCAGTTTTACGCCTCCCAATTTTACCTAATAATTGCGACATAATTTTTTTGTAGTATCTAAATTTTCAGTGCCTTTTTTCTATATGTAAATAAGGCTGCCATAGACTCACTTGTATGACATCAGTCATGTTTCTCAAGATTCCCGTCTTCATTGCCTGCTTAGTCACGACCCTTCCCTGTGTCCTCCAGATGACTATTGTTTTTCTTCACTACAATGCCTTCAGCTCTTGGGTTCTAAGGTTCAGGACCCAGAAAACAAACCAACTCACTACAAGAGGTGAACAGACTTCGGACCCCAAGACTGCACCAGGATAATCTCCTCTTGTGGCAAGAGGTAGGTATTTTCCTCTATTTGGTCTAACTTGCACTGTCAACAAATATCTGGGCCTTTTGTTTCTCTTTGTAATCTTTTCATTCCAATTGTTGGACATGTTTTCTATAAAGGAGATTTTAAAACACTATTCCCCAAGCACCCTCTAATTAGGTATTTGGTTCCCTTTATAAGTGTGTTTGTTGCCACTTAATTAAGAGCAGTAATATGACAATTCCCTTTTGTTGCAAAAGGCATCATTGAAATAAATCTCTTTGATCAGTTATCTGATTATGACTTTTTCTTTCTACTCTCACAAAATGTGCTTGTTTTATTCTGCTCTTTTTAGTCTCAAAAATTTTCCAATTTTTTTTCTCACTATTTTCACTTCCCTCTGTAAAATTAGCTCACAGTGTTGAAATGCCCTCCTTGAACACATATTTTCACTTCCTCATCCCCATCTCCCTATGGCGACCCAGGCTTCTCTATTCTAATTTGACATTCAGTAAGTGTATAGGGACTGGATCAACTACATGGTTTGCAAAGTGAATAACTCACTGTGGGGACTGAATCTGTAAAGAGGTTAAAATAAATAGATCTTGCTTTATAACTACCAAAATGTATTCTAAAACACCTTCCTCCTGACATTCCCCTTGCAGTGTTCCACGTCTGCAGCCTCTCATCTTTCCTATAGCTATCCTCATCAGTAATTTGGCAAATTCATGAGACCTCACCAAGTAGAAACAAATATGGAATAAAATTATATGGTGGCGAAATAAAAAGTTGTTGATATTGGAATTTAAGAATTAAAAAATTAGAAGTTTAACTCCCACTCCTCCCTTTTCAAAAAGAGATTTGGGCGCTCACATATTTACTTGGCCTTTTATTGATTTCTGAGGGATTTTTTTGTTGGGGGAAAGGAGACAATATTAAATCAAGAGAAATTTCATTAACAATGTATATCATCCGATTATTAACAAGCATACTTAGGCTACATTTAAAAAAATTTTTTTCATTTAAAACTAACATGTCTGCTAATTTGGTACATATTTTGCCATTGATAGGCAATATAAAGAGAATGAAAAAATATCTAACTTCAAACAGAAAAAAGAAGCAACTGGAATAAAAAACTATAAACAACAGGTAATGAGCTACAAACATTTACATTTTAACACAGACCAAACAGACAAGAAGGGACTTGCTGGCCAGAGATATCTCATAATTTTGTTTTACTTCTCTGTTTTTAAACTATCAGGAAGTTGGGCAAAATATCACCTCTCCTACATACTACATGGACCTCCAAATACTGTTCTTGGCTAGCCTGTTCACAATTCAAACTGGCACGTTAAACCAATTCTAATTAGGTCGAAATTACAGTTACAATTCATTTAATTCAAATCCCTAATCTTCCAGTGTTTCAAAGAAGGCCGTGGAGTGGAACACAGAATTCAGTCGAGATGATATTTAATGCATAGCTGGGGACCATAATATTGCTGACAGAAATGTTACTTATTTCATTTTTATGAAAGAATATTATCATAAGCATCTAAGTAAGGCCTCTGAACTTCCCTGCTGAAGGCAGGTTTATGTCTTTGCACTCTGGTGCACCAGGGCCTAAACAAACTGTAATATTAAAGGATTACAAAATATGTCCTAGGTCATCTAAACTGCTTTTCAGGCTGCTTCTGTAAATACTGGATAATAGATAGCAAATTTAAGATTTTTCTGAGTAGTAAAAATGTGTTTTCCCTATGCTAAAAAAAGGTGTTCTACAGGAGGGAAGGGGTAGGGGAAGAACATATTGGAATTCAGGAGAAGCAATTAGGATGATTTTAATCTATTTTAAAGAAAATTCATAATTTTAAATCCTCCTTTCGTTTTGAAGATTAAAGCAGAGTATTTACACACAATTTCAGAAGACTCCTAGAAAAGCACTTAAATGCTCTTTTCATCAACATCAGACTTTACCACTGTTTCACATTTTCTCCTCTTTATCATCACGAATATAATAATTCCTTCCTTACTAAACTTCCTAAAGAGATTGTCTGAGGCTTTTAAAATCCAAATTTTAAAGTAATAATTTGTCGAAACTGCACGGGAGATGGTTGGGTGTGTGGATTAGTAGACAGTGGAGCTAGGGACACACAGTAAATCAGCCTGGGACACAGGCAGGTTTTGAAGTTTATTTTTATTTATTTATTTAAAAAGATGACCGGTAAGGGGATCTTAACCCTTGACTTGGTGTTGTCAGCACCAGGCTCTCCCAAGTGAGCTACTCGGTCATCCCTATATAGGCATCCAAACCCGCGGCCTTGGTGTTATCAGCATCACACTCTCCCAAGTGAGCCACTGGCCAACCCAGGTTTAGAAGTTTAACTTGCCTTTATCCCTAACCTTTGCATTTGCTCTCTCACTGGATTTTTTGTCTATTCTTTCAGTTATGCAGCGAGCAGTTCTCCTTGAGGAAGAAGCCTCTCTTTATGGAGACTGGGGTGGTGACAGATATTAATAAAGTGGTCTGATTTCTCTGCTGTCCTTTCCTTTCCCCCAAATGTTCTTAAGAGACTCACTTGAACTTTTTTTCAAGAGATCTATGCCTTGGTTTTAGTAGCCTATCACTCAGTAAAACAAAGTAAGATTTTTTTTTTAAGTGAATTGTCGAAGGTCATTTTTCAAAGGAAAACTCCCATAGTTATTATGATTTCTGCTAAAAGGAATTCTCTGATGAGAATCTCATAAAAGCAATTTGGGTGATTTTTCATTCTTTTAGAAGAAAAACATGTAAATATGATTTTTCATTCTTTAGAAGAAAAAGATGTAAACATGATTTTTCATTTTTTATTGAAGAAAATAAATACTTTCATGTGGTGGCTTGAGACTTTGCATGGCTCCAGCTCCTGGAGAGTCTTTATTAATCATTTAGTGTTTTGATATATTTGGGTGTGGGTTCCCTGGCAGAGGAGGGAGCTCAGAGGAGATCCTGATTTCCCCCCAAAGGAAGCCCAAAATCCCTGAGAGCCCTGGTGTGTCATCCAGGTTTAAAGGGCCCTTTGGTTGATCATCAGCCGTTCTTCTCTCTGCTCTTATCTGAAAGTGACCACAGGGCCCAACCCTCCCCTCTCAAAGAGAGTGAGCCCAGGAGATTGGCTGATCTGTTTATGTAAAGGGATTAGAATGATTTAGAATTGAAATGGGCTCCCAAACACAAATCTAAATAAATGGAGGAAGGGAAGAGTCAAGTGGTTGCTCACCTTATCCTCATTTCCATCCCAGCTAAAAAAAAAAAAAAAAAAAAAAAAAAAAAAAAAAAAAACCCAAAAACCTGCTTTCAGAAAACTGAGTGGAAGAGGAGGCAATTCTATAAACACAGCCAATTACGGATTCTGTTTTGCAGAAATCACAATCTGTTTGGAAAGCGTCTAAATCTTAAAAATAAAAACCTCCAACAGAACTTTTTAGAAAAGTGAACATTATTCATTGTAATTAGATCGAGATCCAGCTGAGGCCAGGAAGTATAAAAAGCTTACATTAAATTAATCCCCCCTTAACGGGGACAATTATTTAACCAGGTTGAAAAAAAAAAAAGAGTAGCCCATCTTTACAGTTTGAATCACCTGCCTTCACTAGCCCTTTAAATGAACAGGAAATGACCGCACTGACGGTACTGAAACGCTGCACCTTTTTAAACCCACCAAAGACGGAAGAACAGAATCTCCACCGCAAAAATTAAATTCCTACTGCTTGCTGCCAGGGTAGTGGGGTAGTTGTTTAAAAACGCCCGGGGTTGTTTACATATTCCTGTTGAAGGCCAAGGTTTTTAAAGGCAGCTCAAAGCTAAGGAAAGATCTAGGATGAAAAGTGAACGGAGAGTCTTCCAGCTGCTCAGCTGAAGTTGCCGGGCGCACGCCGCCCCCTCCTCTAACAGGACAGCCGGCCGATTGGACCTCCCGGCTGTCGGAGGACAGCCTCCTCACCTCTCCCTGCCCCGGGCTTAATCTAGGTGAGCAGGCGATAACGTCCAGGAGGGTTCCAGGAAAAGAAACAGGATTCGCTACTGGCGGCTTCTGGAAGGAGCAGGCTAGAGAAGCTCGCAAAACTCTACAGAAAACTTTTGCAAACCTAACTACTCCTGCCATGGACTTTGGACATGCTAATTCCTACAGGGCGGTTAAAGAGGGGGAAAAAATCTCTGACAGTTTCCTTTGTTAGTTTATTTTCACTGACCCTAAAGCATAAAAGTACATCTCTCTATTTTACTTCCTGATGCTTTCATCTGAGGAAGATAAAATGGTCTGGGTGTTAATCCCGAGTTGGGGGCTGCGGGGATGTGAGCAGACCGCTTGTCTCTGCTGGGTTGTAACTTTTCCTACTTTGTAGCAAAGCGAAGGCCCCTGCCTGGAAGGTCCCGACTGGCCCTCAGTGGATGTCTCTGGGGGCATCCTGATTTTTTCAGTCCTCCCCGGAGGCCTCCCGGCGGGCTGGGACGGATCCCTCCGGAGGGTCGCCACGGCAACGCAGCATCCCCCGCATCCCAAGTGCACAAGAGATGTACCAGGGGCCGCGGGGAGCAGCGCCGGTCCCCCTTCTAGAACCCGGCCCCGCCTGCCTAGCCGCTATCCTCCGCGATCGCCCCCGGCCTCCGCCACCCCTTCCGGGCCGAGTACCTTGAAAGCGATGGGCAGGGTCTTGTTGCAGCGCCAGTGCGTGGGCAGCACGGAGCAGAGGAAGTTGGGGCTGTCGGTGCGCACCAGCTCGCCTGGGTGGTCGGCCAGCACCTCCACCATGCTGCGGTCGCCGCTCCTCAGCTTGCCGGCCAGTGCGGCGCCGGCGTCCGGGGCGCCCAGCGGCAGCGCCTCGCTCATCTTGCCCGGGCTCAGCGCGGTGGAAGGCGGCGTGAAGCGGCGGCTCGTGCTGGCATCTACGGGGATACGCATCACAACAAGCCGATTGAGTTAGGACCCTGCAAACAGCTCCTACAAGACGGCGACCGAGGCGCGGATCTTCAACAAGCAGCTCCGGGGAGACCAACATACAAGTTCAGGGGCTTTTATTACTGCGGGGGGTGGGGGGGTGAGACTAAGTTACTAACAGTCCAGGAGGGGAAAAGTTGTGTTTATGCCGATGGGCCTCAGACCCAGGCAGGGCTCCTAGCAACCGGCCGCTTAGTGCATTCAAAAGTGGACGACCAGAATCCAAAGTCAAATGCCAAAGGGTGACTATCTTCCTGTGAGTCCTGCTTTGAAAGTTCAAGTTCAGTCTTTGGCTGTGACAAAAGTGCCCGAGGCAAAATTCCCATACACTTCCTAAAATATTTATGCGGAGAGCAAAATGACTGGCAAATACATGAAGTTCCAGTAGTTAATTGCCTGTCAGTTTTTTGCAGGTGAGTTTTGTCTGAAGTCCCAACAGAACACAAAATACACGAGAGTCTTCCATATAGCGCCACTTTTATCATGCAAAACCGGCTTCTGTCCTCAAAAGCAAGAGCTTCGACTTCCGAAGGTCGTGCTAATATATATATGTACTCTTATATAAATATATACATATGCTCTACTTCATAAAATATTTACAATACAATCTGTAGAGAATTTGAACACAACAGAAACCCATTAATGTTCGCTGGAGGTTTTTTTTTTTTTTTTTTTTTTTTTTTTTAAGTAGCCTTGAAAATCAGCTTCAGTAGTTGGAGAAAGGCAGGGCTAGAAGTACTTGTCATTTTCTCTCAATAAATTCTACCAAATGCTCAGTGCAGAAAATAAAGCTTTTCAAAGATCTTAGCTAATCTTAAAAGAAAAGTCCAAGTCAAGGAAACTCAGAGTACAGCTCTCCACATCTGAGCACTTCGGGTTTGGGGATGTTGGTTAAGTTTGTGGCTGAGCCTGTGGTTTGGTGGGAGTTGAGCGGCAGCCGAGTCGCACACACGCAGACACACACTCTTCGGCAGCCAGCACTGTCTACATTGGCTCGGTGAGTCAGCCCCGACTTGAGCAGTAGCGAGACGATCTTCCTTCAGCGTCGCCCAGCGCCCGCGGGTTAGCTGCTCCGACGCAAAAATGCCCACGAGCACCGCGTAACCGCAGCAGGTGGAGCCGGCCTTGAGAGGAGGCTCCGCGGCGCAGATCCCAACAGACCGGCCGGCTTGGGTTACACATGCATGCACACACTGCCACGCGCACACATCTTCACGGCTCTCCTCGAACCACAGCGCACTTTCGCCCGCAGTTTGCAAAGGAAACAATCGGGGAAAAGTTCACAGCCAGGAAAAAAGTTGAAATATCCAGCCAAGAAGCCAGTTAATTCAAAAGTAAGGAGAAAAAAAAATGCAGGTCCAACGCGGGTCAAGGATAAGCAACAAAGGTTGACTTTCTTCTGGCGTCCCCAGGAGCCCGGGGAAGAGGTGCCTGCCGGAGCAGGGCCGGGCAGCGTGGTGCCCTAGCTGGGTCCGGCCGCAGAGGGCCCGTCCCGCCCGCGCCCGCTGGCTCTATGAATGAGAGTGCCTGGAAATGAACGTGCTTTTACTGTAAGCCCGGCCGGAGGAATTCCATTCCCTCAGCTCGTTTGCATAGGGACGGCCGGCGGCCAATCACGGGCCTTTCCGGTATCAGCTAGGGCGCGGCTCGCGGCCGCCGGCTCCTGGAATTGGCCTGCGCGCCCCCTGCGCCGCGCGCCACTGTACGCAGTGGGGCAGTTGGGTCGGCAGCCGCTGAGGCCGCCCCCACGCGGCCCGCGCACCCGCACCCACGCTGGCGCGAGACCCCGCCCGGGTGCGGACTCCTGTCCTGCAGCACCCGGCATGGTTGCGCTGCCTCCTGCCCGGGGCTGCAGTGCGCAGCGGCGCCACAGGCGTCCGCGACCCGGAGACCCAGGAGGAGGAAGGGAAGGAGGCCCAGGCGGCCCGCGGAAGACCCGGCCCGCACGCCGCACCAGGAAAGGACCGGGCTTGGAGAACAGCTGGAGCGAGGCTCCCCGCGTGCCCTGGAGATGCAGCCCCGAGGCTCCCGGGATCTAAGCAGCCCCAGGCCCTATGCGGCCGCCCACGGCCAAGCCTCCGCTTCCCGGGCGGGGGTGGAATTCGGCTGCGAGGGGGCTGCAGGCTAGAGGGCCTGGCCAAAGAGCGGCTCTGCTCGCCCACGGCCCGCTTGGCAGCTGCGGCCGAGTGGCGCTGATTCATTTAATAAGGTCAGCCGGTGCTCCACAACATGGTTTTTGTGTTTTTCGCTTTCTCTCTTGGTTTTTCTTTAATTGCTGTTTCTCGCCACCTCTGGGCTGCGGCTTGATTCCGCAGCGCGGCTCCCTCTGACTGAGTGTGCTTAGCGGCCAGCAAAGGAGTTTCCTAGTAGGAAAAGACCCCAAAGTAGCAGCGACTGGAAAGAAAGTTGAAAGCTCTCGGGAGCGTTGGATCCCTCGCAGGCCGTGCGAAAGCCCGCGCCCACCCGGGGCCGCCCCCGCTCGCCCGAGCCCCGCATTCACCGTCCGGCTCCCGGGAAACGGCCTCTCCCCGCCCCCCCCCGC